CCCAGGCTACAGGTGAGGAAAGAAGATCAGAGAGGTGAACCTGCTGTTCAAGAGCTAGTGACAGACGTCATATATGTGACAGAGTGGGGCTCAGGCTTACTTTACATCCAATAGTCCTCCTAGATAGAAAGAACCAGTTTTGGGCTAAGCTGTCCTCACAGACCCAGCTGGGCCAGTCTGTGACTATGACAAAATGCCTGAGGAAACTTCAGTTTCAGGGAAGGAAGGGTTCACTTAGCTTACAGTTTTGGAGGTTTGGATAAGATGTGGAGGGGTATATAGTGACAGAGCAAAGTCCCCCAGCTCATGGCAATAGGAGGGAGAGGAGAGAGAAAGGGAAGGAGGGAGGGAAGAAGGGAAAGGTGAGAGAGGGGGAAGAGGGAGACCCAGGTATGGGCTGGTACCACCGCCATAGGCCGGCTTTTTCTCTTAGTTAATCCTCTGGGGATTAACCCTCACAGACACACCCGGAAGTGTGCCTCTTAGCCTCCTGGAAGCCTCTCAGTCCAGTCTAGATGAACCTCCATATCTTCTCCAAGAAGATGTTTTTTTTTCTGGTGGCCTTTCCTGCCCAGGCAATTCTCTGCACCTTCAGGAATTCGTGCCTGTCGCTGCAGGCTTACCCTCTCCATTCATGTCTCCTGAGCTCCGCCCCCACCAGGTCCTGAATGAAATGTGATGGGCTGTGTGTGCCACAGTCCCTGCTTTCCTATGCCTGAGAACCGAAACTGTGCCTGTGTCTCATACACTTCCCTCCCTTGCCCACGGCTTACAGCCCAGCCTCATCTCAGGACTAACGGAAGCCTCCTAGCATGCTGCCCCAGGGGAAAAGCTGTGCTTAGGAACTAGTGATGAATGGTGCAAGCCTGAATGCCAGTGATTCACCAGGCAGAGGCGCAGCTCACACTCACAAAGAGGGAGGCCAGGCTGGACTCCAGTAGTAAGTTTCAGCACAGCCAGAGACTGTCTCAAAAAAAAAAAAAAAAAATGTAAATAAAACCAAAGAAAAGCAGGCTCGTCCTTGAGGCTCTCCTGCGCCTTGGCCTGCAGCAAGGATTTATAGCCCAGGTAATTCTTCCTTGCTTTATCTGGGATGTGGGGGTGTGAGGATGTGTGGGGGCTAGTGTATTTTCCTAGTCATAAAACCCTCAGTCCCGGCGAATAAATTTGAGGAGACAGTTTTACTGACAGATTTTTTTTCTCCGTTGTGTAATAAAAAAATAAAATGGAGTGAAATTTGAGATTGGGGAGATGAGGGCTGTGAGTTTTAGAAGTAGGTAAAAAGCTGTACCTAAAGGCAAGCAAGGCTGGGGCCAGGGGGCTGCTGGGGAGCCTGCCGCCCTTCCCATGCTGCAGCTGCTGTGCAAGGTGAGGCCAAGGAGCAGTCAGGCAACCTGGCCAGCCTGGCGGGACAGTCCAGGAGTGCTGGGCCCTGGTGTAGGGCTTCAGCTGTATCTTCAGTTGCAAAGTGGGCTGTTATCATCCATTGAACTGTCTTGCTAGGGCATAGGAGGGGCACACAGATGAGAGGTGGAAGGTTCTCCAAACTTGATATGTGTGTGTGTGGGTACGTATGCGTGCACGCACGTATAGGTACACACGCATATGTATGTACATGTTTATGTGTGCATGTTCATGTGTACAGGTGTGTGTGTGTAGGCCAAAGGCCAACCTTGGATCATTCTTCAAGTACCTTCCATCTTGATTTTTAAACCGGCACTCGCTGATCAGGCTAGACTCCGTGACCAGAGTCGCCCCCATCCTCCTGTCCCTGCCTCCTCGGTGCTGGGGTTACAAACGTGGACCGCCACACCCAGCTTTTTTACCATGCTCTGGGGATTAAGCTACCGCCTCATCCCAACATCAGTGTGAAGTGCTCTGAGGTGGCTCTTCTTCATCAAAAGGAGCAGTTACACGCTGGGACCCTCACGGTGACAACCTCACGTCCCCAGGATTTGCCATGTCCCCTGATAGAGAAGGGGGACATTGTCCAAATTGTCTCTCACAGGCTAGAAAGGTAGCTCAGCCGTTAAGGTCACTTGCCGTTCTTGTGAAGGACCTGCGTTCCATTCCCAGCACTCTCGTGGCAGCTCGCCACCGCCTGTAACTCCAGGATCTAATGCCCTCCTCTGGCCTTCACGGGCACCACATGCACATGCTGTACAGACATACCGAATGCTCAGATTCATCAAACAATAAAATAAGTAAAACTGTCTGCCAGTTGAGGGCCCTGGTTGAAGAGCTCCTTGGTGTGTCTAAGGGGCCAAAACATCCTTGAACGGTTGGGAAGAGGGGAACAGTGGACCACGCCAGGCAGGGCTATGATTGTCCATTTGTTCTGATTTGAATTTGGCTAAGCCACTTAGCCTCTCCCACCCCTAGACTCTGCCCCAGCCTGGCCTCTGTCCACTGTAGGGCCTGCGCTGGGTGAAGGTGTCAGCCTCAGAAGTATGCTGTGGGTGTCCCAAAAGGGTGTCCTTCCTGGGAAAGTGCCAGCATGGCGCCACATGCCAGCGAGATGCTGCCTCCTCTTTCTTCCTCCATGCTGCCATCCTACTCTGGGATCTGGGTCCTTTTGCAGAAAGGTGAGGGGAGGTGTCGGACCACTGTCCTCAGGCTACACAGATAAGAACAAAACAGCCAGCCTCAGAGGGAAAATAATGAGCTAGACAGGTCTGGAGTGGCCATGGGAGGCAGATGGGCTTGGTGAGGGCTGAGAGGAAAACCAGCCAGGGAAAGTCCTACTTCTAATCCCACTCAGAGTTACAAAGACCATGAATGTATCCGCATCCTTCCTCCTACCACTGGTACTCAGAGAGGTGTCCTTATTCTTGGTTGCTCCTAGGCTATGGGACAGGTAACAGATGTGTCCAGTGCATGGCACACAGCTGGTGGTGCCCCATAGAAGCTGGCTGTTGGCACCAAATGGGTTTTCTAAACCACCCAGATGTAGTCTAAGTCAGCCTGGGCGCAGACGAGCTCAGAGAGGCCAGTCTTCCAAGTCGGAGGGACATGTGCCACTCTCAGCATCGTTCCATCCTTGCCCACCTCCCGGCAGCACCCCCAACCCCTCCCCTGCTTCTACCCGAGGAGCCAGAGCCGCAGGGAGTTAATTCCACTTCTCCAGGTCCAGGCATGAGGCTGCCGGTCGCAGGCTGTTAGCGAGGAGCCCAGCTGAGCGGCGAGAGGCCGCAAGCTCTCGGTCTATAATAGAGTTGCTGAGACAAGCGGAAAACTGCAGCCGGGTAAACAGATAAATAATTGAAACAGTGACGACACATACCTTGCTGCTTTGTGGAGTAACGCTTTCATTAGCGGGAGGCAGCGGAGACCGGGCGCTCGCGTCGGGCCGCCGCTGCTGGGGAGCCCCCGACACTTGGGCCCTGCTCTTCGTCAGCTGTGAACAGCAGGCCCTGCGGCAGGCTGCCTGCTCCCCAGCCCTCCCCAGCCCCATGGGCGCAGGTGGAATGGAGACCTGTGGCCTCCTCCTGTCCCAAGGGTGGCTACAGCGTCCCCTGCTGACAGACCCCTTCTGCCCATCCCTGGCTCACTGCCTCTGGTCCTGCCACGCCGAATACCTCCCCCCCCCCCCCCCCCCCGAGCCCAGGGACTTGCTTCTGGAAGACCAGGGGACTTTATAAGCAGAACCCAAATCTGACCCTGGGCGAGCGGTGCCTGCTGGGGAAGGGCACGGCTTTGTCCTTGGGTCCTAGGAGGTGGCCTTCCACAGTCAGAACCCACTGTGTCCTCTCCCTCTTGTTCCAGGCACTCTGAACAGAGTCGCTTTCAAGGAGGCAGCTGAGCTGATCCTTCCTGCTTCTGGCCTTGGATCCCAGGCTCTCTGCCTAGACAGCCATGCTCCTCTTGGTTGACTCTTGCACCTCAGGCTGAAGAAACTCCCACAAGAGTGTGGGAGCTCCCCATCCTCAAAAGTGGGCTCCTCCTCCCTAACCATCCCCACCCCCATTCCCATGCCATTTTGGGCCCAACCCTCCAGGATTTATCAGAAATGGCTGTGGTATCTCGGCCCGGTGAGATGGCTCAGTCGGTAAAAGCGTTTGTTGCTCAAGCCCGGCGACCTGAGTCTGATCCCTGGTACCCACGTGGTAGAAGGAGAGAGACAGCTCCTCAAAGTTGCCCTCTGACCCCCCACCTGTCACCCCACACCCCTCACACATCATGTGCGTGTACACCATGATAATAAGCACACTAAAAGGCAGAAATGGTTGCAGTATAGCTTAGTTCTCTCTCCATGAGTTCTTTGCACGCTGACGACCCTCCATCCTCCCCCTTCCTCTTACTAGCTAGCCTGCCCCCTCCCCTTCCTTCTCTCTACTGACGAAGGCCCTGGACCAGGCCCTGATTCCATAGCTCACTCCACAAAGCCCATTCTGGTCCTGCCCGCAGTCCCCCCGGCCATGTGAGCCAATTCTGCAAAGCAGAGCCACCGTAGTGGTCAGATCACCCGATGCATGGAAAGACTCACTGGGGACAGGCTGCCAGCTCTCCCCCCTCATTCCTGCGGGGCCTCAGGGGGCCCCCCTCCCAGTGTTCGCAGGACTGAAAGTCCAGAGGCCCTCTACACCAGGCTCTGGTGGCTGTAGCAGCTGGAGGGAGCCAGCTTTACTCCTAGGCTGGCAGTCTTGAACGTGTGAAAGCTGTTGCCTCCGAGCGCCACATCAAGGGCTCAGGTGCACAGAGCTCTGACAAGAGGGAAAGGCAGGGTGGCGGAGAGGCTCAGAGTGGAGAGCTCTCTGTCATCAGCACACACGTGTCCTTCTATAGGACATGGCAATGGGTGTGGCCTCCTGGGGCCAGAGGCTGTTAAGTCTTTTTAACTAATGAATCAAATTCTGTATTTATATTTATTTATTTATTTGTGTGTATGTCTGTGTATCTGAGTGGGAATCTTGAGCAGCAGAGGGGAGGGAGGGAGAGTGGGGCCAAGACAGGCCAGGGCCAGCTGGGCACTCACCTGTGGCTCCTCTGCTCTGTGGCAGGTGACAGATGGCGGCACCATCAAGCAGAAGATCTTCACCTTTGACGCCATGTTCTCCACCAACTACTCGCACATGGAGAATTACCGCAAGAGGGAGGATCTCGTGTACCAGTCCACTGTGAGGTGAGGCTCCGCCCCCACCCCCGCCCTGAGCAGGTGGCAAGCGAGAGTGTGAGCCGGAAGAGGGAGGGGCTGGGCCTGGAAGTGGGCTTGTCAGCCCCTGTCAGCAGCCCCTAGAATGCTCTAAACGTCGGTTCTCAACATGTGGGTCGAGACCCCACCACATAGCAGATATTTACCTTATGATTCATAACAGCGGCAGAATTACAGACATGAGGGGGGGGGGTCACCACAACATGAGGAGCTGTGTTAAAGGGTCGCAGCAGTAGGAAGGTTGAGAAGCATCGGTCTTAGGGGTTGTATCCCCTTCTGTGAACGGGGGGGGGGGGGGGGGGGGGGGGGTCGGGGGGAGGGGGGGCGGGGGGGGGGGGGGGGGGAGGGGGCTCTCTGCAGAAGTGGAGCCAAGGCCTGGAGGGAAGAGCAGGAAGTATAATCCTGCAGGATAGGATTCACAGATCCTATTGCCGGTGAGCATGCTGAGGTTCTGGGAGGGGCGGAGGTGTGCCTAGAGTCACAGAGCCCTGAACGACAGAGCTGAGAGGTGTGCCAGCTGCGCCCAGCCTGGAAACACGTGCGGCAGGTTCCATTGTCCCTCGGGTTCTCTAAGGTCACAAAGGGCCCACATGCAGGGTCACCTGGACATTCAGGTCAGGGGCAGCAGGATGAGCAAAGGCTTCAGAGTCAAGACAATTTGGCCTCATTCCCGGGGCCCACCGCACGCTACATATGTAGGTACTGCAGCCCTACACGCTCCCCAAAGACCCTTTTCATATTTATTGATTTGACCCTTTGTACAAGGTAGTCTCTTCCCCCAGAAGCCTTTCCTACCTTCCGTCACCGGGTAAACTCCTCTTCAGCCTTCAGAGCCCCACTCAGGCAGTACCAGCATGTTAGATTTCCCTGGGCAGGATGGCCCAGGCTCCCTCAGTCCCCACCCTCCTCCAGCAAGGGATCTTATGGCCTCTATGAAAGTAGCTTCACAGTGGTGCTGGGTGTGAATACACACATACATACATACACAAAAAAAGGCACACACAGAGAGACACACAGATACACAGAGAGGCACACACAGACACACAAACAACACATATACACATATGTGCACGTCAAACAAATACACACACACATACAATACATACAGATGCACACAGACAACACACACACACACACACACACACACACACACACACAGCTCTTTCACACTGTGGTACATGCTTTGCCTGATGTCCTGTTACTACATAACTCATGCTGGGAGCAACAGGTGACACAGCCTGTGCGACACCTTGCACGGTTCCACCTGGGTTGAGGGGCAGCTGGGACACCCCAGTGAGTGTCTGCTGTCGTGCAGTCTTTACCCTGAGTCCTGGGGTGGACACGGCTCCATGCCCTACCTGGAACTCCTGCCTACCCCGACCTCTGCTCTCAGTTCCCATTCTCCACCAAGGCCAGGTCACAAGTCAATGCACAACCAAATCTGCAGAAAGGACGGACGGGACCAGAAGGCCCTAAAGATGCTCCTTTGTGGTTGGGCATGTTGCTTTGCACGAAAGCACAACTACAGAATGGGATAAAAATATTTTTATTAACTGTGCCGCTGGCTCTGCAGTGAGAATCTGGCTGGGACCTCCTACCTGCTAAGTGAGGGATGGAAGGGGGTCGTGAGACCCTGATGGCCTCTCCAGACTCCTCCTCCCAGGCGCTGAGCTAGGACCTCAGTGCCAGCCTTTCTTGCTCTGAGCAACTGCAGCCAATGAGGGCGCACAGGGCTTTTGGGAGGCAGGCAGGCCCCTCTCTGTTTCCCCCCCTCCTGAAAAGGAAAACACTAGCTCTGATTCCTCAGCCAAGAAGGAAATCCCCCCCATCCCTCTTACAGCTATGGGCTCAGCAGTGCTCCCCACCCCTAACCCCCACTCCTCTCACCCCCCTCTCACTCTCCCTACTCCCCTCACCACCCAGCCCCCACCCCCTTACTCCCTCCACCTTTCCACTCTCCCCCTTTCTCAGAAAGCTTTCGGAAAGCCAGCAGGTGCCCGAAGACCCGGTTTCAAACCTCAGCATAGCCGCACTGCCTACCCGGTGACCTTGAACCGGTCCCTGGTCCCCTCACACCCTGGAGAGCTAGCCGGCTGGCCACATTAATCTTGCTGTGATTGTGGAATTGGGTAGAAACTGATGCCCAGTGGCCTCAAGTCAAGCCCCGGCTGCTCCACTTGGTGAGCAGGCGCCCCAAGGTCAGTTCCTGGTCTCCAAACACAGTTCTGAGAGGAGCATGTTCACCCCTCAACTTCAACAACCCCCTGTCCCCACAAGGCAAACCCCATCTTGCCCTGGGTGCCCCCTGAAGCCCCTATGTATACACTTTCCTCTTCTGCCCCTCACATTATCCACCAATAACTGCTTGAACTTGGATTTTTTTCACATCCCTTTTCTGGGTCCTGTTTTACAGAAGGGTCCAAAGTGCCTTCATGTTTCACAGTTGGTGAGAATAAGACCCCAAGGGGACTTGCTCAAGTCACACAGCAGCATAGACTTAGGACCAGTCTTAGGACTTATGGCCCAGGCTCTTTCATCCCTTAAGTTTATGCTGGGTTTCTGCATCCTTCTTTCTGGGCCCTGAGAGACCAGGGTCACCTGAGCCTCTAGAGAGGGCACTCCCAGGAGCGGAGACACCATACGCAGGGGACAAAGCCCTGGACAAGAAGAGACCTGTAAAAGCTAATATTGTCGGGCAACGCTCAGCCAGTGAAGGAAGAGCTGCCAGGCTTCGGGGCCCCATTAGGGCCAGCGGTAGGGCTCCCGGGCTCCGAATTTACATATAAATGAAGATATTTACAAATTAATGCATCTCAGCCCAGAGTCTCAGCTCCACAGCTGTCGGAGGGAGCCACTGCTTCCTCCTCAGCTGGGAAAGTGGGGTGAGAATGAGGCTGGGAATATTACCAGGAACCGGCAGAGAACAATTTCCCGGGGAGTCTCAAGGAGCCCCAGGGACTCCCGTACTTGTCCACAGCTGGTGGGACGTGATGGGCAGAGGCTGGTGGATGACGGATAACTGGGGTGCCCGCCTCCCGTGGGGGCAGGTGTGAGTCCTTTTAGTGCAACCTCGGGCGTGTCACTGTACCTCAGAGGTCCCACCCATTCACTGTGGGATGGACTGGGTAGTCTGGAAGGGGCTGGTGGGCAGTGGAGGAGTCACCCCATAGACAAGAGTAGGGAGTGGGTGGGACAGTGAGCAGAGTGCCCCCCCACAGGGTAGGGAGTGGGCGGGGTCTTAACTAAAGTACCACCTAGAGGCTAAAGCAATAGGCTATAAAAAGCTGAGTGTGTGTGTGTGTGTGCGCGCGTGTGTGACATTCACCTGTGTGTACAGGCGGACACTTCCTCAATCACTTTCTCTACCTTCTCCACTGGAGCAAGGTTTCTCACCTGAACTGAAAGCTCACCAACTCACTAAACCAGCCAATAATTTAGCTCCGGGGGTAGATTCTTAGGTAGTAGCTGCCTTATCCCCTGAGCCATCTGACCAGCCCCTAGGAGAAGGATTTTTATGTTTAGGGTGGGTTTCTCATGTGCAGTTTCCTGACACACCATGGCAAGGGGAACGGGCCAGGTTGGCCAGTGCGCAGATTGGCAAGGTTTAGTTTGAGCCATTACCCAAGCAATGTCTAGTGTGCAATCTTTGTCATGCAAATAGAGGTCAGGCAAATAAGGGCACCCCTGGTCAAGGGTGGGTCTCAGGGAATGGGGCCTTCATGTCACAGATGACCAGGAGTGAGGCAGGAAAGCAGGGGTCCTTCCAAGTAGCAGGCAGAGAAAGCACAGAGGCCCTGAGGTAAGACCGTCTGGGCTGCGTGGTGCTGAACATGGCCAGGGCATTAGGAAACAGCAAATTAAGTAGCAATTTACCCTAAGCACCCCGGAAGCCACCAGGATAGTGGCCTACTGTGACCTGCATTTGAAAGTTCACTCTGGTTACTGAGTAGAGGGAAGAAAGATGAAGTGACCCACGGAGGAAGCCCAGCCTGCTCTGAGAGTCCCACAAACACCCGAGAACTCCTGACATCTCACCCACCCACGTGGCTGTTTGAGCACAGCGTGGGGGCTCCCCGGAAAACTGAGAATACAGCCTTACCCTCCCAAGTCATGATAGCAGCATGGGGGTGGGGTGGGGTGGGGGTGGTCATTGGCAAGTAGACACTAAAAGAAGTGACTGTCCCCCGTTTTGGGTCCGGAGTGCATTTGCCAAGGAGGCAGAGCCACGGCATACAAAACTTGGACCCTCTGGAGTTCACACCCGTCCTGACCTCCACGGGGCTTAAAACCTGCCCCTTCCTCTGCATGCTTTCTCCAGACAGCAAGGTCCCCCAGGGATCCACATGCCCTCTCATCTCGGCACCCCAGAGTCTGCTTGGCATTTAGAGAGGGGCAGTGTGGAGCGGGGGCTGGGAAGAGGGAGAGCAGGGCTGGCTATTCAGGCAAGGAAGCCGGAGCTGTCGAAGGAGATGCTGAGACACGTGCCAGGATGACTCAGCTGGCAGCGCTGAGAAGATGGTGGTGGCATTGAAAGTGGGTCTAGAATCAAAAGCGGCTTTGAGACAAAGAAGATCTGAGGGCAGGAGCTCTAAGTGGAAGAGAAAGTGTGTTCAGAGGAGGTGGGGAGGTGCCCGGAGAGGGACAAGGCCACTCTGAGCTGGCAGACAATGGTCTTTAGAGAGAGGCCGTTTGGAATCTGCTCTAATGAAAGCACACTCCTGGGTTTTAAATAGACACGTTAACGGTTCAGTCCAAAGAGCCAGGCATCCGTGGACCTTTGAGACTTTACACGTCTTTCCCTGACGGTAAGTGCTGGTGTACAGCTCAAAGGCTTGTCTTGCTGTGGGTCCAAAAAAGATGCCATCCCAGCCTTGATAATTCTTGGTCAAGCCATGCATGTAGTTTCCCCAAAATATGTGTAATGGCGACTGCTTCCCTGTCAGGGGGCCACTTGTTCACTCACTAGCTTC